ATTTTCTGTAGTACACTAAATTGTGTGTCGAATTATGAGACTGCATTTTGTCAACAAATTACATGTACTCCCGACTTTCCCGCGTTATATGCTCTGGGTGTCTGGACACACTACTGGGACACACACAAACGTAACATTTTATGTAAATGAGTTGAGTACAGACAGTTATACATTGTATGAAACATGTTTAGGCTACAGTTATGATGTTTTGATTAGTAGTGATAAAATCAGTGGCAATTTCATTAGGTACTTGCTCTGATGTATCAACATTTACCACAATCTGATTGTCCAATGTTTAGTGAAAACGATTGTAAACGCATATGCTACTAATATGTAGCAAATACAGGTGCAGCAAATACTGTGTTTGTATTTTGTAGCAAAGTTGCATTTTTTAAATAGCATGAAAGCAAACTGTTTGGACATCTATGTGATTGCCACCATTGTTTCAGTGAAATTCAAACACTGGGAAAGAAATGAATAGCATAATGAATATTTTTTATTTATTTTTTTATTTTATTAAATTGCAGCCAACAGGCAAAAACCTCAATTATAGGCCTGAGAACAATAACATAATTGCACAGACACAGGCATTTGAAATTAAAAACAAACAATTCTTAAAAAATAAAACTACATTATTTTTAAAACTATTAAAAGAACTGAAAATATCAAGAGTGCTATAAGAAGAAATGTTATTAAAAAGAGACAGTGCACAGGGAATGTATGATGATTTTAAAATATGGAAAAGCATGCATAGCCTTGTGCAACAAGGTGCAACATGTATTGGAATTTCAGATAAAATATCAGAACAGTTGCAATATGAATGTAGAGATTTGTGTAAGAAATACAAGTCAAATACAAATATTTAATCAATATTTCACTTACCTGGACAGTAGTGTGTAAAAAGGCCACTGCATATAGCATGGGTTTCCACTGAGGCTGACTATTTATGTCCAGTTGATCTTGAGTTATTCCAGCAAATGTTCTCTTCAAACCTGCTTTCACTCCTTGAGGAGGTTCATTAGTAAATTTGATAGATGTCTGAAAAAGCAGTGGAAAAACTGAAAATTAAAACATTTTGTAATCATGGATCTTTTTGACTGACAGTATGTATAAAGCTGCCGCAGACTACCCTTTACGTCGTTGAATGACACATCACATCATCGATTCTGAGCATGTTCAGTTCTATCGTGTTGTGTTGAATTGATTTGGGTGGTTGGCACAGCTGATCACAGCTGTACACATTGCATTGCACCAACTAGGGAGTGGGATTTAAAATCAGAAGGAAGATGAATATGCTACATCATACCATTGTACATGACTACTGGTCTTCAATCGTTGTGATAAGTCCTGGTAATTGTATGATAATACCACGACTGTGACAGTCATGTTGAAATTATGAAAAATTCAACCATGACACATATTCGATATGTTACAACATACCGGTACATAGCAATGGTTTATTCATTAAACACTAACAGACACAATAACACTTTCTTCCGATAAAAGATTGACATACCTGTAATAAACTAATGGGAAACTGTGGATGAGCCTCAGTTGTGATCCACACACGGAATGATTCATGGACTGGTTCATGAGTGAGCACAGTTTCCAGCAATTCATCCATGAAGTCTAAACCTAAATGACAATTCTGCAGAAGAACCCAGCCACCCTGGTAAAAAACAAAAATATTAAATTCAATAAACATAAAAAGTTTGCAAAACTTTCACAATAAATATCAGAGGTTGTTCACTATTTTTTAGAAGTAGATTTACAGCCGTCTTTAACATCAAAAGAAAATTTAGCATTGCAAATGTTCTGAAGATTACTTAGAAATTGGCAAAATGTTTAGTTTATACTTTTTTGTGTATTTATGAAAGTGTTTCTTCGTATCTTGCAATGTTTTTTGTTATCAACAGAGTACATGTACTAACATTGTTATTTTGTAAATTATAATTTGATGGGGCTATTTTTTCTAGTGTTCAGTAACATGCTCAGGAGTACACAATTTAAATTCAGTTTGAACTGGAACTTAAAGAAAATACTTACACCAGCCATTGACTGTGAAACCAGTCTTCTGGCATGGACTTCTTGTCCTTGTCCCATAGAAATGGCACGACATTCTGAAATCATTATGATAATTTACTATCAATACTCAATCATAATTTGTTTGTGAAACAAACAGAAAAACTGTAAAAAGTGAATTGGGAGTGCATTTTATGTTGTTGACTCAATTAAGACGTAGATACATTTGAATTGCTACAAAGTACATATAAAACTTTACAGAGAGCTAAGTGTTCTCCACAATCCAAAACATCTGGTAGGCAGCCTAATTAGCATAAATTTGCAAATTATTGCATATCATTTACATACAACATTCTAGCATTTATGTCATGAACTGCAATACACACTATTCTTTTTTAAATTTAATTGAAACATGTTTTGAAATACAAACAGATTGGTTAATATCAATATTTACGAAATGCAAGGTTTGAAATCGATGATTTACACGTTCTCAAAATATTCCGCGTTCATGAAATACAGTGCATTCAAGTAACGAAAAGCAAGTACAAAATATAGTTGAGTTACAATGTAGAAAATATAAGGTGATTTGTCCACGAAGTCAAAACAGACGATTTGTCAAAATAAAACCCATAACATTTTCATTTGTGGCATCAGTACCCACCCGTGCTGACGGACGGTACGATACATTTACACATGTGCAGTTAGCTCGGGCAGCCATGTTTGTTTTTTACCTCTTTCAATTCAGTACACGAACACCCAGAATGCACGGTTCCCCTATGCAACTTAGATACTAATTCGTTACAGCGCCAACAGCGGTGGGTGTCCGATGGCCGCTGAATGGGGTAGATCAAAAGGTCATCAGCCTTCTCCATTGTTTCACAATGAAATTACGGCTAGAATTTTATTTTGTTTGAGTTTACATGCAATCTGCTAATATATTTGTTTATCTTCTGTGCATAAATATTTTGTTCGTATTTACTTCCTCCTTTCGTGATCAGAAGACGATTCCTAAAAATACAGCTGTAGTTACGTATTGTGAGCAATAAGTGGCAACAATACCGGGCGACAATGAATTCAGGCGATACCCTGAATACACTAGATAACTGCTTTCAGATTTCCAGTGGTCATTGTTTATATCTGGACAAAGCAAAATAAAGGGTTGGGCAACTACTCTTGTTTATGATTTTTACAAATCATTTCAGCTGGATGTATGCCCACCTAAAACCCCTTGTGGAGAACACTGGTATAACTTATTAGATATACGCTTACCAACTTTTAATTTTTTTGCTAATCCTTCAATATTGTTAGTAGGATCACTACCCATAGACAGAAAACATATTAATGGAGTGCGGATGTCGCCTTCTTCCCATGTTTTCTCTAAATCTAAGATCACAGGATCTGCATACTTGGCACCCATGGAATCTGCAATGTATTTCCTGGCTTGAGGCATAGTTCTATCAGGACACCATGATCTAGCACAATAAAAACAGACCAGATGGTACAAGTCAAATAAGTAAATTTCAGAGAAAACAAGACATGCATGAATTTAAGATATATAGTTTTGTTTATAGTAATATAGCCGGAATATAACTATGTCAGAAATATGATTTTTTAACATTAAAATGATTGACATTTGTATCTGATCGTCAAACAAGTACTTGTCCATATTGAGAGATATTGCTCTGGAACAGCATTCAAAATCAACCACTTTGAATACATGTATATATATATATAACATGATGTATAACGAATATATAAAATTTGAACATAATCAGTCAAAGCATTTTAGAGACATGGCTATAGAAGCCCAATCATTGAAACAAAATGGCCGCCAGTCAGCCATTTTGAATCCAATCTGAAAAATAAATTGACGTGCATCAGGAACCCGTAATGTCTAATGTATGTACCAAGTTTTAACGAAATCCATCCATAAATGTCAGAAATGCTTGATATTTGATGATTTTTTTAGCACAAAAATGGCCACCATTTGGCATATATCTGTCTATCTATGACATGATGTATAATGAATATTTAAAATTTGAACATAATCAGTGAAAGCAAGTCAGAGATATGGCACGAGAACCACATTCATTAAAACAAAATGACCGCCAGTCGGCATTTCTAAGATACAGGTTTGGACGCATGCATGCACGCACACACACACACACACGCATGCACGGACACACGGAGGTCAAAACATAAGTCCCCGTTCGAACGCAGTCCGAAAACGGGGACTTATGTTTTGACCCCCTTGTGTCACTAAAAAGGTGACTGATTCCAATTACAATAACTAAATGTAATTTCCTGAACTATGTTGAATAGCTTACCTGACCAACAGTAATTTTCTGAATGTATCCAAGGAGCTATTATAACCATCTGGTATAATCTCTTCTTCAGGTGCATCCGTATCAAACCACACTTTCCAGGTTTTCTCATTTCGTTGAATCTTTGTGGAAATCAACAACATTAGTTTAATGAAACAAGCTCCCTGAATATATACAGCAACTCCCCCAAACCTTTTCTATGTGAAAAGTTTCAATATTTATTGACAAAAGACACACTTTAGAAGAAACCAGACATTTTTACCTGACCAAGAATATCTCCAAACTGGGGTAATTTACTAAGTTGCACAAGATTCAACCATACCATATCCATAATCCATTTACATGGTTTTGGTGGACATGCTCTAAGATCTAAGGCAGCACCACCTAGGATCCAAAACATAAATGAAGTTGTAATTATCTTTCAGTTTTGTGCATACAGCACCTCTGATTTTTACCAGACTGTTGCTTTAAAAGTGACAATCCTGTAAACATATACAGAAGGGGTTATGCAATTTTGAGAGTTGTACATACTGGTACCACTCAGTGTTATGTAAAAATGTATGTATGGAAATAGACCACTCAATGAATTTAATTCTATCTCAAATCACCTACTAACTCATTCAGGCGAGTGGCCATGTTTGCTCCATCATTTTCTCACCAGTAAATGTGAACTAAAAACAGCCTGCTTACTAGTAAATGTGTATTGTTTTAAAAAAAACCTGTCTGCTGAACAGTGAATGAGAACAAGGGATTCTGAAAACTGTGAGTTATTGAATAAACTTGAAGCATACAGAAGATTATGATTTTCATTTGGCTATTTTTTTAATTAAAAAATCAGAACTAACCTTTAATCAGCACTTGGAATTCTTCGTGTTTTACAAAAGAATTCTGCACATCAATCTTCAAAGTTACTAAGAGTGTGAAAAGAAACTTGTGTGTCTCGTATAAACCACGACAAGAGTATTTGAACACTTCATAAGTCAGAAAATCTATGATATTCTGCATTCTTTTGGCTGGTATTGGTGACTTTTCAGACCTGGAAAGAAATATTTATATCACTGTTCAACTTCATGGTGAGAGGACAGCATTTAAATTAATTCTTGAAAACATCTGTAGCAGCCATTCATGATTAAGATGTGCTTTATGCACACTGAACCAGTTTAGTGACTTACCTTGCCATAGAAATGTCAAAAATACCAAGGAATTGTTTGAGGGATGTCTGATACATTACATTAACCATGCTCATCTCAGTAATCAAGAAATACAATATACTTCCACGAGTCGCCACTATAGACAAAATAAATACATGAAAATAAGAACTGAATGCTTTCTTAACGATGCATGGCTACACTATACTTGATATGTGCTACAAGTTTTTTTGTTCTGTTTTTTTTAGTGTAGTTAACATGATTATCAAGAACGAAACACATAATATATATACAATAAATGTAATTTTGTGCTACCTAATAAATCCGGAAAAACAATCTCAATTTATTGCCAGGTGCATTTATTTGTCAAAGGATGCACAGTTATGTGTTTGATTGGCAACAAATACTCAAACAAGCCCTGTAGTTCACCCATGTAGTTCATATCCATGTTTATCAGCACACCAAACAGAAGAAACATAATACTAGTACACTCTACTAAACTCCAAAATTTCATACTATATTGTTTAGAGTAAAGTGTTCCTGCTAATATAATCTAACCTGGTCTAAATTCTTCCCTGGCTTCATTAATTTTAATCTCGGTGTCTGCTGCTACTACTAGCTTTTCAGTTACTTCTTCAGCTGTTTCTTTGGTTGTTGCTAACACTGAGATTAGAGATACATCTTCTACTAAAGAACCCTACACATAGATCAAAGCCAATAATGTATATTATTCTATTCAACAACAGATGTGCTTACATAAATTATACTAATTCTTACTATTGAACTGTCTACAATTTATTGCCAATTTGCATTTATCAACTGAGTGTACAAATAATTGTTCAAGAATGAGACATAGTCTTCATAAACTCATATTTTGAAACTTTTGACAGCGACTGCCATCTAATGCAATTTACTAACTGTTCATGTTCATAAAATCACTATCTCTCCATGAACGCCAAGTGTTGGTGATGCACAGTATTTTTTTTATCCATGGTGATAAAGTAAATCATGACATTTTTTTTTTTTTTTCGAGGTTGTTTGTATGTTTAAAGAATTGTTCATATAAATTTCTCACACAGAATCAACTCCTTAGAATTCCCAAAACTTCCTGAAAGGTGCTCAGAAAATAAATTATCGAAACAAAGATACACCATTATGGCACAATTGATCAACAGTGTGTTGAATAATAAGAAGCGATACATATAGAACTCTGCAATATAATAATTACCTGAGTGCTTGTAAGTCTGTATAATAGATTATCTTCTAATTCTTGCATCTTCCTTTTATTAGCTGTCACATCCTTCATAAGTTTAACTCTTTCAGATTCAAGTTCCTATCAGTAACATTTATTTATAAATTAACAGGCAATTTATGGAATAGACTGATGTAAAAGTCAGAAAACAAAAAGATTAAATTCAATGACATGCTCTCAATCTTTTTTATATGTACAATATATGGACTATACTATAAATACAAATTTAATTTCTAAACCAGCCAACAGAATAATACTAACCTGCTTCTCAGTTTGAATTACGCGACCAAGCAATTGATCTTCCAATCCTTTCAATGTTACAGTGAAGTCAATGATGGATGTACGAGCAGAAATCTAGAGATTGTAAATTGAAAACATGTACTCAATGTACATAACTTGAGTACACACTTATTGTAGAATAACAACTTGTAATTTATTTTTGTAGAGAATGATCAGGAAAATATGAAAGTTCAGTGAATAAGTGATACCTAATACAATTTTTCTGTTTTGAATGTCACAAATTACTGAAAACAAGTCATTGTCAATGACACGTCCCCGTTCCGTTCATATTTGAGTGACATATACATTCAAAGCAGATCATGACCGAAATGCACCTGCATATGTACAACACATTGTGCTAAATCTGAACAAAATCCATCCATGCATGACTGAGATCCGGTTCTGGAATTGTGAAAATACGTGATTTTGATGCATTTTCGGCCTTAAAATGGCCATCATTTCGCTATAGTTAAGCAGATCATGAAACAAAGGCACATATCTATTTGTGACATGATGTACCATGTGTGT